CTGTCAGAGAGAGAATTCAGAGTAATAGTTATAAGGATGCTCAAATGTCTGGACAACAAATACACGCAACTCAATGAGAATTATAAGGAGCTGAATGAGAAATTCATCAATAGGAGTAAAAATCAAGAAAAAATGAAGAATGACATAGCGGCAATAAAGAACACAACAGAAGGTTTCAACAGAGGAGTAGGAGAAAGAGGACCGAATCAGTGAGTTAGAAGACAAGGTAGACAAAGGAGCCAAGCAGAGCAACAAGTAGGAAAAAAACCCTTGAAAAGCAGGAGAGTCGAAGGGAGCTTTGGGACAACACGAAATGAAACAACATCCACACAGTAAGGGTGCCAGAAGGACACGAAGCTGAGCAAGGATTAGAAAACCTGTTTGAAGAAATAATGACAGAAAACTTCCCTGACTTGGGGAAGAAAAAAGTCACACAAGTTCAAAAAGCACAGAGTCCCAGTCCAGATGAACCCAAAAGACACATCAATTAAATTGGCCAACATAAAAGACAAAGAAAGGATGTAAAGGCTCAAGAGAGAGACAAAGTTACCTACAAGAGACCTCCCATTAGACTATCAACTGATTTCTCAACAGAAACACATCAGGCCAGAAGAGAATGGAATGAAGTATACAAAGTGATGCAAAGCAAGGGACTGAAACCAAGAATAATCTACCCAGCAAGGCTATCATTCAAAATTGAAGGTGAAATCAGGAACTGTGCAGACAAAAAAAGGCTAGGGGAGTTTATTACCACCGAGCCAGCGATGCAAGAAATGCTAAAGAGACTGTTGTAAAAAGGAGAAATAGAAAGGGAACAAGGAACACAGGCATAAAGAATAAAAATGGCAACAAACAACTACCTATAACCTTAAAGGTAAATGGATTAAATGCTCCAATCAAAAGACACAGGGTAGCTAAATGGATAAGAAAACATGACCCATGTCTATGCTATCTACAAGAGACTCACCTTAGAACAGAGGACTCACACAGACTGAAAGTGAAGGGATGGAAAAAAATTCTTCAGCCAAATGGAAATGAGAAAAAAGCTGGGGTAGTATAATTGTATCTGACAAAATAGACTTCAAAGTGAAGGCCATAGCAAGAGATACTGAAGACTACTTCATAATACTAAAGGGATCGATACAATAAGAAGATATAACTCTGGTAAACATATATGCACCTAACACATGACCATCCAAATGCAAAAAAAAAATTCTAGAAGATATCAAGGGAGAGATCGACAGCAATACAATCATAGTAGGGGCCTTTAATACCCCACTGACATCATTGGATAACTCTTCTAAACAAAAAATCAACAATAGTGATCCTAAATGGCTCAATAGATCAGATGAAACTAATTGACACCTTCAGAACATTTCACCCCAAAGCTATGGAATATACATTCTCCTCAAGTGCATGTGGGACATTTTCAAAGATAGACGACATTTTAGGACATAGCCTTAAGTCTCTACAAATTCAAGAAGACTGAAATCATATTAAGCATTCTCTGACATCACAATAGCATAAAATTCAAAATCAACTTAAAATAAAAACACTAAAAAACAATCACACATGGAGTCTAAATAGCATGCTATTAAACAATGAATGGGTTACCAAAGAGATCAAAGAAGAAATAAAAAACATCCCAGAAAAAAATGAAAATGAAAACACAAAATCTATGGGACACAATAAAAGCAATCCTGAGAGGGAAGTTCATAGCACTATAGCCTTACCTCAAAAAAACAACAAAAACTTGTAATAAGTTATCTAACCCTACAACTTAAAGAATTACAAAGATAGCAACAAGAAACGCCCAGAACAAGTAGAAGAAGGGATTATAAAGATCAGAATTAAAATAAGTGATATAGACACCAAAAAAAAATACAAAACATCAGTAAAACCAAGAGCTGATTCTTTGAAAGGATAAACAAGACTGATGAACCCTCTAACAGACTAACCAAGAAACAAAGAGAGAGGACCCAAATAAACAAAATCAGAAACAAAAGAGGTTAAGTAACAATGGACCCCACAGAGATACAAAGGATCTTAAAAAATGAATGAGCAACTGTATTTCCAACAAACTGGACAACCTTGACCGAATGGACATATTCCTAGAAAAATACAATCACCCAAAACTCAATCAGGAAGAATCAGAAAACCTGAATTTTCCAATAACTACTGATGAAATTTAAGCAGTAATGAACTCCCAGCAAACAAAAGCCTTGGTCCAGATAGCTTCACAGAGGAGTTTTACCAAACATTTAAAGAAGAACTAAAACCTATCCTCCTCAAACTATACCAAAAAATTCAAGAGGAAGGAAAACTTCCAAGCTCTTTCTATGAGGCCAGCATTACCATAATCCCCAAACCAGATAAAGACACTACAAAGAAAGAGAATTATAGGCCAATATCCTTGATGAACATAAATACTAAAATCCTCAACAAAATTCTAGCAAGTTGGACCCAGCAATACATTAGAAAGATCAAACACCATAACCAAGTGGGATTTATTCCAGGGATAGAAGACTGGTACAATATGCACAAATCAATAAATGTGATGCATTACATAAACAAACTGAAAGATAAAAACCACACGATCATATCAATTGATACAAAGTATTCAACAAAATTCAACACCCATTTTTTATAAAAACTCTCAGTGAAATGGGAATAGAGTGATAAGACCTTAACATAATAAAAGCCTTATATGTCAAACCTATAGCCAACATCATACTCAATGGGCAAAAACTAAAACCATTTCTCCTAAGAACAGGAACAAGACAGGGATGCCCATTCTCACCATCCTGTTCAACATAGTACTGGAAGTGCTAGCCATAGCGATCAGACAAGAAGAAGAAATAAAAGGCATCCAAATTGAAAAGGAGGAAGTAAAACTGTCATTATTTGCAGATGACTTCACATTGTACATAGAAAACCCTTAAGATTCCATCAAAAAACTACTCGATTGAATAAATTAATTTGGCAACGTAGCAGGATATAAAATTAATACCCATAAATTCATGGCATTTTTATACACTAACTAGAGACCCAATGCACGAAGATTTGTGCAACAATAGGCCTTCCTTCCCCTGGCTGCTGGCACCACCTTCGTTCTGGCCGGAGCCACCTTTACACCTTCGCTCCGTCCCGGAGCCGCTGCCTTCCACCTTTGTGCACTACCCAGAGGCCTGGAGCGGCCAGGGAAGGGTGGAACACCTGCATCATTGCCATGGCAACAATGCAAGCATCCCAGCCTGGCCGCCGCCATCTTTGTCATATCAATTTGCATATTCCCTCCTTATTGGCTTTGGGTGCCGCCATCTTTGTTGTGACGTGATGGTCAATTTGCATATTCTATCTTTATTAGATAGGCTAATGAACTCTCAGAAAGAGAAACTAAAGAAAAAATCTCATTTACCATTGCAACAAAAAAAATTAAGATACTTAAGAATAAACTTAACCAAGGAGGTAAAAGACCCGTACTCCAAAAACTACAGGACATTGAAAAAAGAGATAGCGTAAGACATACACAAGTGGAAGAATATACCATCTTCATGGATTGGTAGAATCAACATCATTAAAATGGCCATACTACCATTTATAGATTCAAAACAATTTATAGATTCAATGCAATTCCTATTAAAATACCAATGGCATATTTCACAGACCTAGAACAAATATTCCAAAAATTTATATGGGATAAAAAAAAGACCCCAAATAGCCACAGCAATCTTGAGAAAGAACAAAGTTGGAGGGATCACAATACCAGATGTCAAGTTATACTACAAAGCCACTATATTCAAAACAGCCTGATACTGGCACAAGAATAGGCATATAGATCAATGGAAAAGAACAGAGAACCCAGAAATTGACACAACCATTATGCTCAATTAATATTTGACAAAGGAGAAAGAGCATACAATACAGTCAAGACAGTCTCTTCAATAAATGGTGCTGGGAAAATTGGGCAGATACATGCAAAAAAATGAAACTAGACCACCAACTTATATCATACACAAAAATTATCTCAAAATGGATAAAAAACTTAAATATCAGTCGTGAAAGCACAAAAAATCCTAGAAGAAACCATAAGTGGGAGAATCTCAGACATCTCTCATGGCAATATGTTTACGGATACATCATAATGGAAGCTAAGGACAATGGAAACTTAGGAGAAACTAAACAAATGGGAGTACATCAAAATAAAAAGCTTCTGCACAGCAAAATAAACCATCAACAAAATAACAAGAGAGACCACTGCATGGGTAAATATTTTTTCCAATGATACATCCAATAAGGGGTTAACTGCCAAAATTTATAGGGAATTCATACAACAAAAGAAAAATTAAGCCAAGTAAAAAATGGGCAAAGGACCTAAACAGATAGTTCTCCAAAGTGGACATACAGAAGGGAAAATGGCACATTAAAAAAATGCTCAAAGTCACTAATCATCTGAGAGATGCAAATCAAAACAACAATAAGGTAATACCTCACACCTGTCAGAATGGCTATCATCAACATATCAACAAGCGAAAAGTGTTGGTGAGGATGTGGAGAAAAAGGTACTCTCATGCACTGTTGGTGGGAATGCGGACTGGTACAGCCTCTGTGGAAAACAATATAAAGTTTCCTCAAAAAATTAAAAATGGAACTCCCATTTGACCCAGTGATCCCACTTCTAGGAATATAGCCTAAGAAATCAGAGACACTCATCAGAAATAATATATGCAACACTGAACTGATAAACAAAAATAAACCCCGAGATAAAGAAGCATCCAACACTGTCAAACCTCAGAGAGAAGGCAGGGGAAGGGTGTGGGGGGTGAGGAAGAGATCAACGAATGAACTCATATGCGTATACGCATAGGCATGGTGAAAATACCCATGGACACACACAACAGGGTGGTGAAGGCTGGCAATGGGGGGCAGGAGCAGGATGGGAGGGATCAATGGGGGGAAAAGGGAGACATATGCAAAACTTTCAACAATAAAGATTAAAATAAAATTTAAAAAAAATTTTTTTAATTTTCCTTATAGACATATAGCTTTCTCTTGTTACAATGATAGTATAATTCGCTGTAAATATTTTTAGTAAAGAAATGCAATTCTGATGGCAAAGTCATGTAGGCGCATTGAAAAAAAATGCATGAAATACAGAGTGTAAACACAAGCTACACAAAAGTACATCAAGAGTGAGAGGCACCAATATGTTCAAGAAACGTGCTTTAAGTTACCCTTTCCTCTTCTTGTGTCGATACAGGACTCAGATGACAATAAGTTCCAGGAAAGCACCTACAATAAACCAAAGAACAAGTGAAATGTAAGTGAAAAATAATCACCAAGATTCAAAATCTGGCAGGAAAAATTAATGTTCAGTGGGCAGAAAATGCTATTTTATTTAAGCACATTGCCCTGGCTATACATTTATATTCTTTCTGGACTCTTCACTATCTAAGGGCAAATCTCTGGAATCACTCAGTCCACAGCAAGCAGAGAAGAGTCCTTTCCTAATTTACAAAGATACCCAAAGCATATTTGGGATGCAAACTCATATGATTAATCATCTTGAAAAAACATGTATTATTTAGGATTTGTTACTAAGTGGACATGTCCTATCCTATATAATAAGAGCCTAATATGCAAATTGTCCCCTTAGGCAGTCAGTCGTTCAACTGGGAGTTCGACTGGGAGTTCAATCGGGCTTTCCACTGCTTGCTATGATGTGTGATAACCACCAGAGGGTGGAGCAGAACATGGCAGGCGTCAGTGATGTGGCGCTGGCAGCGGGTGACAGTGGAGGTGCTGCCGAACCCAATGGGCCCCGATGACAGTGGGACCGCGGGAATGGCGTAGCCCCCTCCCGGCTCCCAAGTTCTTAAGGAACCCGGGGGGGGGGGGGGGGGGGGAGTGGCCTGGCCCTGATCGATCACTCTGCAGGCGGAATGGTGAAGGTGAGGGGGTGGTGCCAGGCCGAGGCAGGGTGCCAGGCGGGGCTCTGGAGCTGCGAGGGTAGGATGCAAGCTTGGGCCCGATCCCCACAGGCCACCCCGAGGGACCCCACCTGTGCATGAATTTGTGCACCAAGTCTCTAGTCTATATATAAAAGCCTAATATGCTAAGTGTCCCTCTGACCGTTTTTTCGACCAGTCACTATGACCCGCACTGACCACCAGGGGGCTGATGTTCCAACCGGTAGGTTAGCTTGCTTCTGGGGTCCAGCCAATCGGGACTGGGCAAGATGGGCTGGACATACCCTGCAGCCCTCCCGCAGTCCCTCCTCAGCCCCATTCATGCACAGTGGGGTCCTCGGCCTGGCCTGTGCCCTCTTGCAATCCGGGACCCCTCGGGGATGTCAGAGAGCCTGTTTCAGCCTAATCCCTGCAGGCCAGGCCAAGGGACTCCTCTGGTGCACAAATCTGTGCACCGGGCCTCTAGTAGAATATAAAGAATATATAATCAGCAACACGAGGCAGTGTATCATATAAAAGTTGAGGTGTTTCTAGACTGGTTTACTTAATTTCAAGCATAAAAACTGTAGAAACAGAAAAACCGTTATGCTCTTCACATTAATATTTTGATTTAAGTGGGATCCAAGTTGGAACACTTACCAACAGCTAAAACAATCGCAACAATGACTCCTGCACCTGAGAAAAATAAAACCAGTTTGAAGGTAACTGAGCACGTGTGGGTCTCCAGGTGGCAATTACATTTTAGTTAATCAAATCATCTATAAACTACAGCAAAAAAAAAAAAAAAAAAGTTTATCAGTCTAGTTTAGTGTGACAGTGCATCCAGCTCATTTGATCACAGAGCCCTTCAATTATGATTCCAGGCTTAGGGCCCAATACTGTTTTGTGTTGTAGCTACAGCACTAGGTTATTAGTAAATATTATTAGAACAATTAGAATTCACTAGATTAGTGGGAAAATCATTTTAAAAATGTATTATTCCATCTTAGTTGATATAGTTCAGTATTCAGTCTATCATTTCTTATGACTTTATTACGAAATTATATTTTTTCACCAACAGTGGTGGCTCTGTGGAATAAGTCATAATAAAGTTCTTTAATTTATTACAGAAATGTAGTAGTTGAATCTTCACAAATAATACATTATCTTATCATCAATTCTTCCTCATGCATGCCCACCTTCAAATTAAGACATACCAAGGAGATTCTAAGAATGCAAAAGAAACACCAGGGCACATGGATAAAATTATGCTTAGAAACTTAAACAAGTATTTTTTACTATCAAGAAAGCAATAAATATTTCTACAAAATCTTAATTTATCTTAATTAAATTTCTATGAAACAAAGCATAGAAATATACAATGTCTTATTACCTCTGCTCTTTTTACTTCATAAGAAAAATTGTCAAGTGTTTAATGAATGAAGATCACTTTGAATTTACTGGTGCAATGACAGTTTGACCACAGAGAGAAAATTTAATGACCCTAAGGTGCATTTTATAAAGAGACCAACCTTAAAATTTTTCTTCATTTATTCATCAAAAATACTTGTATTTCATTTAAATGACACAACTATACTTATAATTTTCTTGAACACATATTGTGTGAACTATGTGAGCGTACATAAAGTGTGATACACCAGCTTCTTATTAAAAAAAAAAGTAAACCAAATTATAATACATTTAGTCTTGTGTATATAAGGTATGAATAGAAAGAAAACTTACCTACCAACTGTCATCACAAAAGCAGTGTTACATGAAAAGCAAGTTATATTCTACAAATTTTAACCTACACCTAAATATAGCAGTTGAGAAAATTACTTCACCTTACAAGAAATCCTAATTTGTGGCACCTCTTAAAAGCTGTATTATCTATATGAGTCTACACATACTACAGTTTATATTTGCCATGGTATCTACACTATTAAAATTAAAAAATTTTAATTCTCCCCATTTGTGACAGATTATACCTTCTCAAACTACAGATAATTGAAATATATTTCCATGTAGGACTTTAAGGTTTCATACAGCAGAGCATTACTAACTAAAAGAATACCTAATAATGAAGAGAATAAATAAAATAAAATAATACCTGATGTATTAGATGGTGTTTTATCACTGGGAGTGGGGTGTCCTAGAAAAAAGAAAAAAAAAAGGAAATAAGTAAAAAGAGAAAGAAGACAATAATAAAGATTAAGACCTCTAAATTATAGTTTAGAATTTTTATCTTTGAATGAATACTCTTATCTTATTTTCTTCATATAAATTATATTAATGTTCCTATTTCAAAGTAGTATTATAAAATATTATAAATTGACTAGAGACCTGGTGCACGGATTCATGCACATTGAAAGAAAATTATTTAGAAGGTGACCGGCATATGTCTGAGATTTTGCTGCCTGTGGATTCCTCTAATATTTTTATGGTTTCCCACCTTACATTTAAGTCCTTTATACATTTTGAATTTACTTTTGTGTATGGTGTGAGTTGGTAGTCTAGTTTCATTTTTTTTGCATGTAACTGCCCAATTTTCCCAACTCCATTTATTGAAGAGACTGTCTGGACTCCACTATATGCTCTTGCCTCCTTTGTCAAATATTAATGGAGTATAGTGGTTTGGGTCTGGTTCTCTATTCTATCCCATTGGTCTATATGTCTGTTTTTGTGCCAGTAACGGGTAGTTTTGAGAACAATGGCTTTGTAATACAGCTTGATATCTGGTACTGAAATCACTCCTAACTTTGTTGTTCTTTCTCAGGATTGCTGCAGCTATTCGGGGTCTTTTTTTATTCCAGATGAATTTTTGGACAGTTCATTCTAGGTCTGTGAAATATGCCATTGGAATCCACAGGGAGCAAAATATCAGAGATATGCTGAAGTAATATCTTCACCGATACAGCTCCTAGGGCAATGGAAACTAAAGAGAAAGTAAACAGATGGGACTACATCAAAATAAAAAGCTTTTTTACAACAAAAGAAACCATCAACAAAACAACAAGAAAGCCCACTGCATGGGAGAACATATTTACCAACGTTATCACCAATAAGGGTTTAATCTCCAACATTTATAGGGAACTCATACAACTTAACAAAAGGAAGATAAACAACCCAATCAAAAAATGGGCAACGGACCTAAATAGATACTTTTCAAAAGAGGACATAAGGAAGGCCAAGAGACATATGAAAACAAGCTCAAAGTCACTACTCATCCGAGACATGCAAATCAAAACGACATGAGGTACTATCTCACACCTGTCAGAATGGCTATCATCAACAGATCAACAAACGTCAAGTGCTGGAGGGGATGTGGGGAAAAAGGAGCCCTCGTGCAGTGCTGGTGGGAATGCAGACTGGTGCAGCCACTGTGGAGAACAGTATGGAGTTTCCTCAAAAAACTAAAAATGGAACTCCCATTTGACCCAGTGATCCCACTTCTAGGAATATATCCCAAGAAACTAGAAACACCAATCAGAAAGGATATATGCTCCCCTATGTTTATAGCAGCACAATTTACCATAGCTAAGATTTGGAAACAGCCTAAGTGCCCATCAGCAGATGACTGGATAAGAAAACCGTGGTACATCTACACAATGAAATACTACGCTGCAGTAAAAAAGAAGGAATTCTTACCATTTGCAACAGCATGGATGGAACTGGAGAGCATTATGCTAAGCGAAATAAGCCAGTCAGAGAAAGATAAATATCACATGATCTCACTCATTTGTAGAATATAATAAACAACATAAACTGATGGAACAAAAATAGAACCAGAGACATAGAAGCATCGAACATACTGTCCAACCTATGTGGGAAGGAGGGGGGTG